GCTTTCCTCAGCCAAGCAGTAAGAAACACATACTGGGCCAAAGGCCAATGCAACATACAGAAACATTTGCTTTGCCACACTTCTCCAGGCACCTACACAGGATGAAGGAAATTGTTATAGTAAAGGCAAAAATTTAAAACTTAAATTTGAAATATCACTGAAGCACAACCTTAGATAAGAGTTTCCTGTTGTTGGTAGAAATGTGAATTTGTCCAACATTCTAGAAATAAAATTGAAATTATGCCCCCCAAAAAGTGAATAAGATGACTGTAGCTTTTGACCCAAAGATCCCACAGGCATATACCTCAAGAAGGACAAGAAAAACCAGTGTCATATAGACCAAAATATTAATAACAGCACTTTAGGGAAGGCAAGTTACTTGAAACAAAACGGGGATCCATCAGTTGGGGACTGACCAAACAAATTTTGGTACTTAAATGAATTATTACTATTCCTGATACTCTGTATATCCAGGGGAATTATACTAGCAACATCAGTGTCTCCCAATGATTAACATGGAAAAGACTGTAGGAATTGATATAGAGAATAGTGGACAGAACCAGGAAAACAATACATACAATATCTTCATCAATATAAATTGAAAGAGAAGATGGCAGATCAGAGGCAACCTAGATGAACTCTCTCAACATTCCCCTCCAAACAACTGTAAAATAACACTTCAAATCAAATTTTAGAGCAACAGAGCCAACAAAAAGTCACGGTGAGATATTTTTCTGGCCTAAAAAATTTAGGAGGTCAGCAGGAGCAGTCTCTGACACCAGAGAGGGGGCCTGTCTAAAGCTTAGGCACACGATGGCAGCAACAACAGTGACCCACAGGCAGAAGCTTCGGGAGTTCCCAGCCCAGTGATGGTAAGGGGGTCAGACAGCTAGTCAGAAAGAGATGCGAACACTGTTTGGCAACTCTATTGCCCATACTCATTATTAGGGTGGAGAGGAGCACTGATGATCAGTCACGAGGGAGCAGGGGCTCAGTGCCAGTTCCAAGACAAAGAAGAGCGCTAGTACTTGCAGCTGCAGGGGACCAGGGGCCCTTCCTGGGTAAAGGCCAGAGTACAGACAAGGAGAACAGTGACCACAGCTTTCCCAGGAGAGATCATTGTGCATACTAACAGCATTGCTGTAATGATAATCAACTGTGAAAGACCTGGCTACTCTAATCAATACAATGATCCAAGACAGTTCCTAAGGACTCATGATGAAAAATGTTATCTACCTCCAAAGAGAGAACTGATAAACTCTGAGTTCAAGTGGAAGTATAATTTTCTCACTTTTTTTGCTTTTTTTTTTTGCAGTAGTTAATATGGAAATATGTTTTGCATGATTTCACATGGATAACTGATATACTGATTGCCTTCTCACTGGGAGAAGGAGGTAGGAGGGAAGGAAAGAATTTGGAACTCAAATTTTAATAAGAAAAAAATGTTAAGAATAAATGTTTTTTAATTTAAAGTTAAAATTAAATCTGAATATATATGAATGTGTGTATGTATAAATTGAAAGAACATTCTGAAACTAAACACTGTGTTATTATAATGACCAATTCTAGCCCTAGAAAAGAACTGAGAAAATCTAACTTCCTTCTTTCAAGGACGAGTTGAAGAACTATGAGTGTGGAATGTTGCATACGGTTCTACTCAGGGTCAACGTTTGGTTTAGTTTTGCTGAACTGTTTAAATTTTTTAAAATCTTTTTTGCAAAGGAAATCTTCCCTGGTAGATGAGGGAAAGAAGGATAGATTCTGAAATGAATGTAATTGCAAGACAAATAGCAACAAGTTAAAATATTGCCTACGGTACAGGGATAATCTTAAGTGCAGAAGTGACTTCTCTAGACTTTGGATAGAAGGCCAACATGATTTTCATCTAGAAACAGGAAATGGTGATAAAGGGAAAGGAAATAAATTTCTTTCATTAGTTTCATGGGAGCCAAAAAAAATTTGAAATATTTGAAATATAAAGTATGGTCAACAAGAAAACTGCTCTCTCTTTCCCATCCTAATTACAAAACAAGAAAAATTTCCTTAATGCCTTATAGATATTTACAATCTAAAATCTAGACATTCCCTGACAGAAAATTGATAAAAAATTTGGTAGGGGTTTGGGGATATAGTGCCTTGCTGACTACTTTTTTCCTTAAATTCCCTTTTCCCCTAACTGAATTTCCTATTTCTCTCTCGGCAGTATTTATTTGCACTGTTGCCTTGTCTGAATCTTGATTACCACTCCTTTTTTTTTTTTAAAAAAAGATTCAGCTGAAGCATAAAAAATTCTATTCTACCTCATTTTAATGTTATATGGACCTTTACGTTTTGTGTCTTTCTCGTATACAGCACATTGTTGGGCACTGTCTTATAATTCATCATACCACCTTTTTGTGTTTCTTAGCAAGTTTATTCCATAAATATTCACAACTAGGGTTGCTCCTTTTGTTTTTCTTATAATCAAATTATGTTTTTAAAAGAAAGAAGGAAAAAATGAAGGGAAGAAGGAGGGAAGGAACTAAGTATTTGTAGCAGTTTATATTGCTTGGAAGAATCTGAATCCCAGTCTTTTTTCTCCCTTTCTAACCTAGAATTAAATTGTTGTTTTGACTTCCAATTTTCTTGGTGGTGGGTTTTTTTTTTCTTTTCTTTAATCATTGAGTTGCAGCTATAGTTTGTTTAGTGTGGATAAATTTCTAATATTCTATATATACAGTGGAATTGTTCTAGCAACATTAGAATCTACTAATGATTAACTAATGAACTCATTAGTTAATCATTAGTAGATTCTAATGTTGCTAGAACAACGATTTTCGCCCAAGATCAATATTAATGTTCTAATGACTGGCAGCCAGTTGCAATAACACTATTTTTTGCCATTTGAGGGGCTTTTACATGAAAATGGATATGGATCTATGACTTCTCTCTCCGAAAAATCTCTTAAAATGTACATTATGATGATTGGTTATTTACCAATAAAATAGTAAAGGTTTATCATCCCTACCATATCTAAGCAAGTGCTTAAACACAGAAATATATTTTCCCTACTGACCTCCCTGTGATGCCTGTGTGAAGCATAGAGACAAAGAAAGTTTAGACTAATCGAGACTTTATTTTTCTTTCCTTCCTTACACTTTTCATGCTTCCTTTGTTTCTTATCCTAGCACTACTTTTACTTAGAACTTCTCATTCTGCTGGTCCTAGGGGTAGCCCCAGCTAGCTTTATATCACTTTGATTTGATCCTTTATAAATGATTCCATTATATGTGTGTGTGTGTGTGTGTGTGAGAATCTAACACCCATGATATGTTTTCTTAACTCTTCCTGAGCCATCCCTTCCTAGCTCATACTATTTCATTTCCTTTATACTCGTGGTCACTATATTATAATATACCTTCATAATACATCTTAGGTTGCTACCATTACTAGAAACCTCATAGCGACAACTGTTTCCTAAAATTATCTAGCCAGCTTTTATTTATTTATTTACTGCTAGGCAATGAGATTAAGTGACTTGCCCAAAGTCACACAGCTAACGAGCGCTATGTGTCTCAGGCCGGATTTGAACTCAGGTCCTCCTGACTCCAGAGCCTGTGCTCTATCCACTGTGTCACCTAACTGCCCCTCTAACCAGCTTTTAGATCCTAACAGAGTGACTATTTTTATTTTCTGTACCTACACAGTTTAATCTTTAAGATTTTTTCTATTCCTTCTTTAACAACAATAAATGTTATCTATAATTTCTCTTGATTCCTCTTAAATTTTAAAATTACCCAAGAATATGCTTTTCAGTTTCCATTTTTCTCATTCAGTTGGCATTTTTTAGTGGCAGGGTCATATTTCTATGCAATATTTATAACACTTTTTAAGTGCCTAGTGAATTCTGCATATTAACTATTGGGGAATGAGAGACAGAAGGAGAGGAAGGTAGACTGGGGCAGGCAGAGAGAGAAGAGGAAGAACAAGAGGAGAAGGAGGAAAGAAAAGGAGGAGAAGGAGGAGGAGGAGGAGGACAAAAAGGAAGAGGGAGGAAGGAAGGAAGGAAGGAAGGAAGGAAGGAAGGAAGGAAGGAAGGAAGGAAGGAAGGAAGGAAGATACTTTTCCTCTCAAATAAACATCTTACCAAACACAAGTTTTTCATCCTTTCTTCTTTAGCAAATTTTTGTACTTTCTTTGGGGAGGACATGACAGTGAGTTCTGATTATCTAATGATGTCATGTTAGCTTCTTTCTTAGTTTGATGAAAGATCTAGTTTTCCTGGGTTGGTTCTGAACTTCAATAGAATTAAATTTTATTTACTGACTTATTATTAAAGTTCAGATCGTATATAATCCCTATACTGATCTAGAAATAACATAAAAGCATAAGATAAAAATATAAAATAATGAGACTAAGAAACCAACAAATCAAGAATACCAGTAGATATTAACTTTGGAAGTCTATATACTCATTCTAATTATATTACCATTGCTCAAAACTCAGAGATTTTCAGGGAAGTATCATGGCAAGGTCAAACAAGCACTGGATCTCGAGTTAAAAGCCCTGGCTTTGGATGCCTACTCTACTATTTGTTACTTTTGTCACTTTGGGTAGTTTACATTATCTTGATGAATCTCCATTCTTTACCCGCTAAAATGAAGGAGTTGGGCCAGACATTCCTCACAACTGTGAATTTTTCATCCCTTTTATAGGTCATGCAAATAAATCTTTATAGTTTTGAGTTATCACTTTTTAAACCTTAGCTACTACCACTTAGCTTGCTCATCGCCACATTTAACAAGTTTGGCACTAAATTTCATTGGGCAGATTCAGAAAAATTAAAGCCACCTCAAAAAATTAAGACTAACAACTATCAAAGATGTGGACCGACCTGTGATTTCAGTGGTACAGAGAACTCCCAGTTAAGGAAATTCTTTTTAACAGCATGGGTCAATACCTTCTCTGCACCTGAAAGTCTGAGAGAGTAGTCTAGAAAAGTGAAAGATTAGATAGCTTACCCATGGTCACGCATTCACCGGGTATAATAGCTGAGACGTGAACCCAGCTTTTCTTTTTTTTTGAAGTTTATAATACAGCCACCATGCTGGGCTACTTCTGAGGGTCTGAAGGTGATTCTTAGATGTTTCTAAGTAGGCTCTCAAGAACATAAGTATAGTTGGACACAGGGTCACTATTTTGAAGGGAACAACCAATATGCATAAGTTATAGCATATTCATTAAACAATCACATTACTTCATAGTAATACATAACAAAACAATTCAGAATTCAAGTGAATCTTCACTGCACATTGTAGGCTGTGACATTTTAAAAGTTCAAGAGGCACGATTTCTGGGTAATTAATTATTTTATTAATAATGCTAACATTTTATTAGCAAAAAGAATGGTCATTTTGGCCATTTCTTTTGGACCAATGATAACTCATGGTGGTGGACTCACATATGCCCTTGAAAGAGTGAGTGTTCCTGAGGGTGGGAATCAACTCTAATTGGTTAACAATTAGTAAGAGAATGAATATTACAATAAGAGGTGAATCTATTCTATTGAAGGGCTTAGGGGTTTAATTTTGATTATTAATAATTTACTATTAATTATTAATAATCAAATTAAATAATCAAAAATAATTACTTCTAAATAACCCCCAGTCTTGGGCAATCTAATCAAAGAATTTATCCCCACTCAAACCTGAGTAGAACTTAATGGGCAGGAACTCACTTAGATAAGATGGTCTACATGGGGTAAATTTGTGGCAGAGGTCAGTAATGTCCTTCAAATGCTGGACTTCAAACAAGGAAATAGGATGGGGTAAAAGGCTGTATCTCCCACATAACTGGTTATTAATAATCACTTCTCTCAATGCTAACACAAATTCATCACTCTCTGAACTGAACCATTATTCCAAACATAATTTGATCATTTTTTCAATATAGAAAGTAAATTAAAACTACAGATTTCAGGGAACAGGTCTGTTTTAATTCAATATTATATTCCTTGGTAGAATTTTTATAATCTTTACCTGGAAATGTTGGCATTAATTAAGAGGCAAATATGTTTTCCTATAAATTAACAGTTTGGAAAAGATAAAATTCAAGTACATTAAAAAAGAATCCAGCAAAATCAAATTAAAAACAGAAAAAAATAAACCTTTAAATCAAGTAAACACTATGTTGATACGAAGTTATTTATTAGTAAATAAGTTTGGTGTGATAGCTTCAAAGCAAGGCTCAAAATGCTTGCATCACAATTTCAGCGATTCAAAAATGAAAAGATATATCATCCATCTCAAAACATTATCAGCTTACATATATAAAGTTAAGATAGGGATTTTCAGGTGGCATGGTACATTATGTATAATTATTACAGTTTATACCAATTAAGAAAATTAAAACAGTTAACTAAATACCCAGGCTATCTATTATCCTGCAAAGCTAGAAGAAAAACGTACTTTATCACCTGAGAGTAACTATATACAGCCTAGTGACTGGCAGTTTATTTAAAAGGTTAAGAAAGTCATAGTGGCCAGAATTAAGCAAGTAATTCTTCGGTAAAAGTACCAGAGATTCCTTGAAAGAACAAGATATATAAATAATCTTTATAACCTTTTAGCAAATACAAAATATAAATGATAGTACCAAATAGCATTTTGTCAGCATTGCAAATAGACTGGCACGTGCGTTTTCTTACCTCATATGAATAACTCAGATAATTTCTATCCACACTGGCACACGCATTACCACATGCATACGTCTACTTGAATGGACCACTACAAATCTTAAATCCAATCTCAGGCATGGTGTTAACTAAATACAATTCACTGTCATGTTAGGAGCTCACTTTGTAGGGTCTTAGCTATTTTATTGTGCTCCTAAATATCATTCAGCGGCAGGCAATTATGCCCCTGAAAGTATGCAGAATATACATCAGTGTACCTCTTTCAGGATTTAAAAAAAACTAACATTACTTAGCTGTATTTCTTTTTCTCAAAAGGGAATACTTACAATGACTCTAGGACTTCTGAGCCCACGTAGCTTGCCTGTGAAAATAGTGAAGGAACAGGCTTTTCTTCAAGTACTAGACTCATCACCTTACTAGCAGGTGAATCAGATCCTCTACTACCTTCAGCTTTTGAAGCTGTGTGAAAAAAGCCATTCCAGTTTGAATTACCCACATTGTCTACACCCAATGAAAATCTACATAGAAGTCTGACGGGGAAGATAGATGAACGAAAATCCTTATAAACATTTACTCCTGAGAATAAAGTAGAAGAAACTTTATTCTGTTTCAGAAGGTTGGAATAAAGTTTCCCAACATTTGGGTTCACCACAGGAAACTTCTCATCCAGAGCGGTTTGTTATAGTTACTTGAATATTCTGATTAACTGAGTTGCTATATATAAAACACACAGAATTTACTAATTTTCAAGAAATCATCGTATTTAAGGGCTTATTAAATGTTTATTCATTGATTGATATAAAACCACACAGCACTAAAGTTGGACCTAATTGGATCTTTGATAATTTAGAAGTTGCTTCTTCATATTGCAGGGCCTCTAAATCATAACTACAATCTGCTTCCCAAAATCCTGTACTGCAGATACAAGAAGGAAAGGAATGTATTTTTAATAAATATAACACAAAAGCATAGAATGTTAGCACTGGAAAAGACAGTTAAGATCATTTGGTCCAATTTCCTCATTTTGCAGATGATAATTCCCCAATACTGGTTTAGTTATCATTTATCTCATTCACATAGAAGCAGAGAAGAGGTGGAAACTGTATTATTAATTATGAAAATAATTATTACTAATTACTAAAATTGTATTATTAATAAAATTATTAATACAATTGGAATAGAGAATCATAGCTTTAGAACTAGAATGGATCTTAGACTTCACCTAGTTTACCCCCCTCATTTTACAGATGAGGAAATAGGAGTCCATAGAAGTAAATGATTTGCCCAAGGTCACACAACTAGCTAGTGACAGAGCAAGGATTTGAACTAAAATGCTTTAAATTCAAACTCAGTGTTCTTTCTAAGGATTCTTAATAAATGGAAAATTTTCTTATCAGGAAGTGAGTGGAATAGAGACTGCTTACCCAAATAAAAAACTCAGAGGTATCTCCAGGTGGAAAACAGAAGGTTTTATTCTAGCAAGTCTCGCTAGAATTGGGCATCTCGTACCCAGGACAGACTGGTGTAGAGAGGCGAAGCACAAACAACAGCAAGCAGTATATACAGTCTTAGACAAACCACTCCAAAAAGCCCCCCTCCCCACCTGTTTGTCTCAATCTCTTTATCCTCACTGGTTGAGGCAAGAGACCTCACAGTCTAGATTTAGAACCCAAGAGATACATTTTATTCAAAACTAGCTTGGGAGCTAGAGGATTGCTTTATTTGGTAAAGTTAAGGCACAAAACAACAGAGGGAGTGGTTACAAAACAAGGGAGGAGGATGGGCAGCTGGTGCACAACCCCCTTCCCCAGAAACAAAAGTGAAACTTAGGGCCCAGCTCATGCTGAAGCCTTACTACATTTATGGAGCATAGCATACATCTTACATGAGAAACTTTCACTTGTCCCATACAGGAAGTAACATTACAACACTCAGATGCTTTAAAAGATTCTGCCAGTTGAGGCATATCCTCCAATACATGGATCAAAACTCCTTTACACTTTGGTAGCTCTACCACCATAAGTTAACTGGGATCATCTGAAATTGATCATCTTCTGGCCAACATTCTGGTAATGAGACTCAGTGAGTTTAGCTAGCCTGCTCCTCAGATCATAGATAAACTATCTATTGTTGAAACCATACTTAAATCCTATCTAGCTCCATGGACCTGCTCTGCTACCCCAAGCTTAAGATGTCAGGATTTTCTCCATGCCACAATGGTGTCCTGCAGTAGAACTTCTGGGGAAAAAAAGGGTAGTAAGCAACAAAATGAAAAAAGTATAATACAAGAAGGGTAATAGTATATCATAAACCTGCAAGGATAGGTTGAATAGAGATTGTGAAAAGCTTTAAAAGCTTAACTGTGGGGCAGCTAGGTGGTACAGTGGATACAGCACTGGCCCTGGATTCAGGAGGACCTGAGTTCAAATGTGACCTCAGACACATAACACTTACTAGCTGTGTGACCCTGAGCAAGTCACTTAACCCCATTGCCTAGCCAAAAAAAAAAAAAGTAAAAAAAAAAAAGAGAAGTTACAATATGATGTCTGGAAGCAGTTTGACCCAACCTGTTTAGCATCAAATGAAATCAAAATCTGGATGAAAACATTTTAAGGGCTTTGAGATATCCTGGACAAAAACACAGAAAACAAAAATATATTAAATCACCTTACAAAGTTCATTGTTAGGTTCTTTTGACTCATGCAGCACTTTTTTTTTTCCATGCAGCACTCCTTATGCTATGGGCTGCAACCTCACAGTTTAAGAAGTGCTGAAGGGGCAGCTAGGTGGCACAGTGGATAGAGCACTGGCCCTGCAGTCAGGAGTACTTGAATTCAAATCCGGCCTCAGACCAAACACTTGACACTTACTAGCTGTGTGACCCTGGGCAAGTCACTTAACCCCAACTGCCTAAGGAAAAAAAGAAGAAGAAACGCTTAAGGAGTCTGAAGTGGAAAAAGTTCAAGAAGCCTTGCTTTAGAGGAATACAATTACATAAGTTTTAAGTATTCTTATTTAAATTTTGGATTTATTTTTAAATTAACAATTGAAGCTTAACTGAAAATGATATTTTCTAACTACTTCACATTAAATAATTGCTAATGCTAGAGTGAATTGGGATAATCTACACTAGAAGATCCAATTCAATTAACTCAGAACATTTTTCATTAATTTAAGGAATTTTGCAATTGCACACACCCTAAGTCTAACTAGATACAAAGGCCTTTCCTTTGGTTTCAATCTCCTTTATAGCTCTGATACTTTTGATAGTTTGAAAAATGTTCTCATCCTTGAAAATCTTTTCTCCCCTGGCTTTTCTATTGCACTATACTAACCTTATTTTTCTTTTACTTCCACGACTGAGATTCAGTCACAGAATTTTATGTTTGAAGGGACCTCAATGGCCATCTAATTACACTGATTCACCAAAGGAATTACCACTACAACATTCCCACTATATCACCATATTCCCAACCATCTTGGCTATGCTTGAAAACATCTTTCTATATAGGAAACTCAGTACCTTCCAAGACAGCCTATTCTGCTCATGAAAAACTGTAATAGTTAAGAAGTTTTTCTTGACATCAAATCTTGACATTTGCACCTGCAATTTATTAGACTGTAAGTGCCTTGAGGGCAGAGACTGTCTTTTGCCTCCTGTTGCATCTTCAGCACTTAGCATAGTGCTGACACAGTAAGTGCTTAATAAATGTTTATTGATTGATCATTGGAATTTCTACCTTTTGCTCCTAATTTTGTCTTAATCAAGTCTAATCTCTCTCCCACATGAGGCCTAGCACATGATAATGAGTGAGACAATGTAAACAGTGTGAGATCTCTCAGATGGACTGAGTGTAACAGTTTTGCAGACTTACAAACTCAAGGTTGGTTACGCTAGCCTGAATAGGCCCAAGTTTCAAGTTCCTAGAAAAACACATGATCTGTACTGTTACATTAGTATTAGGTAATGGCTAATGCTAAATAAGGATAAAATAGCTAGGATTGGTAGTATTATAATGAGATTCCTTGTTTCTGGGGTAGATTTTTGCGTTTTAGATTGTAAGGCTGAAATTCCTGTCCAGTGGGAATTTATAGCCAGTGGTGGGTGGGTTAGGACTATATAACCTTTTTTTTGACCTTTGTGCCTCTCCTCCCTTCGCTCGGACTGCCAGACTAAGCAGACACCCGCTTCTCGCGAGAACATAATAAATCTTTCACTTTATACCTAGAAAATCTCTCAGTGTTATTTTTAGGTAACTGTAGCACACAATAAGTACTTAATAATTTTTAAATCATTTATGCTTTTCACATTCATCTCTGACGATAAAATTTCTGGGATAATACAAATAAATTCTGAACTTTTTTTTTTAAATCGATAAAATTTATTCAAAATGCCTGTGTTTGGGGCAGCTAGGTGGTGCAGTGGATAGAGCACTGGCCCTGGATTCAGGAGCACCTGAGATCAAATCCGGCCTCAGACACATAACCTGCACTAGCTGTGTGACCCTGGGCAAGTCACTTAACCCCATTGCCTGGCCAAAAAAAAAAAATGCTTATGTTCTGGAAAAAAGTGATGGTATAATACCTAGTGGTTCAAATGACAAAGTATTAACTTGTATTTACATTCTAAAATATTCTTTAAGAGAAAATATGTTCAAGGAAAGATACTGCAACATTTTAAGGACATGATATAAATTTTGTTTATCCATCTGGATTTCATAAAGTTTTTAATCTTCATTTGTTATATGAAGCCTTAACAATTAGCCTTCTTTGGTTCTGAGAGATTAAGGAGAAAACTGTCTTCACTATTTCATTAGTTCAGGTGGTAGATATTAAGTTTCCCTTCCTCTTTATTTCTTAGAATTAAATGTCTTAAGGCAACGTAAAGGAGAAAAGAGGAATTTTCCAGCTATGGTTCAAAATTTCTCGATTCTCTATCTTGTCTCTAAACTACCACAGTCAGACCCCTCAAAAGTCCCCTCCACCTAAATGAGAGGATTGAATTAGATGATCTCTTACATTCTGCCAGCTCCAAAATACCATGATTAAAAGAAAAGTCTGTTCCTTCAAAATAGAAAGCTCATGCTCCAACGCAAAAGTTGGATATTCAACAAAACTAGCTTTGGAAAAGTGGTTTTCTCTTCAAACTAGCCATCTTGAATATCAGAAATAAAAATCTCATTTGCCTCTGGCAAAACTAATTGGTATAACTTTTGAAAAAGAGTAGAGAGGAAATTTTAGTAGACGTCAAATCTGTAACTAAATGATTATAAGAAGGAAATGGGATATGTGTGCAATATATTTACTGATGTCAAATACATTGCAGTTAATGTTGCAAGAAATGAATGTATGTATGTATGTATGTATGTATGTATGTACACACGCACATATGTTGAGATATACTATTCAAAGTATGGAAATAGGAAATAAAGGAAGCCAGCTCACTCCATTCACAAGTCATCATTACTACCCATAAAGACAAAAAAAAATCCTATGTAGTGTTTTCTTCATGGTCAAGTAACACTCTAAAATTTAAATCCAAGATTCATAATAAATATAAGTGGATTGATATTGGCTAAATTGAATGATGACTAGTAAAGATGAAATTGATGATGCCTACTGCTATGTAACAACACATTCTTTTATTTTTATACAAAATGTATACCAACATTTTCATTGCCATGAAAAATTATTGCCTTACTATGAATTGCTGCAATAGTTCACACACATAGATTCTAGAACATACCTACACAATTTGGCAGCAGGTAGGGGCCAAAATTAAAATAGGCTAGATTTCTTCAGGACACAGATAGGTTTTTAGTGGCTCGCTTTGCAGGTAAAGGTACAATTAACGATTAAACTATTTTGCAAAGAAACCATATTTTTAAAAAGGGAAATTTCAATTAATATCAATTAATTACACATTACTTAAGAATTTTATTTATCATGAAAACACATTAATGTTAAAAAATTACTTTTCTAAGTAGTACAAGTTTTAATACATTTTTCAGGTTTTCTTATCGTTTACATTTAGTTAATGGGACATATTACACTCCTTGTCAGCAATCAGTTTATCCTACTCTGGAATCACGGTTGAAATCTATTTCTTTAGAATCTAAAAACTAACCTTCCTAGCTGCCTCATTTTCTGAGTTTACTTTCTTGAAAAACCACTGTTCCCTGCTGAGATTTTTCAACAATTTGGATGCTTTAATTTGTTTTTCATTGGTGTCCAATGTGCTTAAGTCAGGATGTTTTAATTCGAAATGGCGACAAAGATTGCATTCTTCTGGAACAGCTATTACTTCTTGGCAAACAAAGCACAATATTTTGTCTCCTGTGTAAGTAAACAAGTATATATTTGTCCACTCCGAATTAAATACTCTGTGTTCTTATTTGATCTTCTGTTTCTTTTTATCACCCATTTTACAAAGTTACCCCAATATATTTTAATGTTAGAACCAAAAAATCTGCATAGCAACTGCTCACATACAAAGAAATACTGAACAGAGTGTTTAACCTTGGAGAGAGCGCCAGCCATTCACGTTACTTGGAAGGTGGCCACGCAGTCGGGGGTGGGGGAGGGAAGCCCTCATGTTTTTGCCTGTCATCACATAACAGGCTTTGGTGTGTG